GTTATTAGTCTGTTTACATCTCCAAAGCTCAAAATGCTCTGTTCCACCTTGTGATGTCATGAATGTGGTAGTTTTCTAGTTAACAGCTCCTTATACTTTTAGTTCAGTAGAGATTGGCAATTCCAAGGGCTGAAATGATCTAAATGATTCTAGTGAAGATGTATGGAGTTTAAAAACACAGTGGACCGCTGTATTACCACATGACAGTGACAGTGTTTTCTGTTTGAGATAAGATGTTAGCCTAAATTTGCAGGGTTTGTGTGTTCAACATGTCTGAAAAAAAAAAAAAAAAAAAAAAAAACACAACTCTGGGTATGTTTGTGATCAAGAAACAACATTATAATACAGAAAAGAAAATAGATAATACAGATAATACAGGCAATTTAAATTAACTGTGTGTTGTCTGTGTCTATGGTCTTGAGCTCTGGGCAGTGACCGAAAGGACTGAGATCGCGGATACAAGCGCTCGAAATGAGTGTCCTTCACAGGGTGGCTGGGTGCTCCCTTAGAGATAAGGTGAGGAGCTCAGTCACACGGGAGGAGCTCGGAGTAGAGCCGCTGCTCCTTCAAGTCGAGAGGAGCCAGTTAAGGTGGCTCGGGCATCTGTTTCGGATGCTGGGTCCTGGATCCTGGACGTCTCCCTCTGGAGGTGGAAGAAAACCTTCCCAACACTGGCAGTAACAAAATGTATTCCCCTACAGATAACAGATTACATACCCCAAAAATTCATTAAATAACTTAAATTGAGTATCGTAATCTGAATACTTGGTTTGCGTTGTCTGCTAAAAGAAAATAAAAAGCCCAGACTTTACTTAACAGTATTAAAAATATTATTGATAGAAGAGGAGGAGACACGTCCACGCAGCATGATTTAGTCCTGTTAAATCCTGGTTTAGTCCTGGTTTAGTCCTGGTTTAAGACCTGGATTTGGACCTGGTTTAAGACCTGGTTTTGGACCTGGTTTGGACCTGGTTTTAGACCTGGTTTTTTGGACTTGGTTTTAGACCTGGTTTTAGTCCTGGTTTAGTCATGGTTTGGACCTAGTTTAGACCTGGTTTTAGAATTGGTTTTAGACCTGGTTTGGACCTGGTTTTAGACCTATTTTAGACCTGTTTTAGTCCTGGTTTAGTCCTGGTTTAGACCTAGTTTAGACCTGGTTTTAGACCTGGTTTGGACCTGGTTTTAGACCTGTTTTAGACCTGGTTTAGTCCTGGTTTAGACCTGGTTTAGTGTCTGGAAATGAGTGGAATTACAGAAAAAAAAAAAAAAGGGATATAGCCCAAAATGGGAAAACAGGAAAATACCACCGTGTAATCCATTTATTTTAACAAAGTAACTGTAATCTAATTACCACTCACTGAAACAGTAACTGTAACTAAATACAGTTACTCATAATTTGTACTCTGATTACGTAACTGTGGTACATGTAATCTGTTACTCCCCAACACTGGTTACTGCAATGTTAAGTAAAATGTACAAAATTAGTAATTAAACTATTATAACGAGTATCAGAGAATGTAAATTCGGCTCTGGGAGTGGAGCGAGAGATTGGAACAGTTGCAGTGGCGGAGTTAGCAATTCGGGGGCTCTAGATGGTCTTGAGTTTGTGGCCCTCACTATAATGCACGTTTTTTTGTTTTGTTTTGTTTTTTTAATATATTTATTGTCAGTTTTTCCCCATTGTTCTTGAGACGACACATTTATTTGAATTATGGTGGATTGGAAACTTGTCTTATGAGTTTGGTCGCCTACTAGATCACCAGAACTGAAAGAAGTTTTTTTTTTTTTCTAGTACTTTTGCTTAATGGTAGCGCCGCTGCCTCTGGTACTATGTATTGAAATACTGAAACACTGACAAACAACAATTAACAAAACAAATGGGTGTTCAGAATATGACGTTCAATATACAAATACAATTCAAAATCCGCACTCAATAAGTTCAGCCAGTGCGTACAAATGTAAACTCTAAATGTGCACCAGAACGGTCATTGCAAATGTTCTCTGTAAGGTTACGTACAAGTGTCCTTTGAATGCAGGGGTTCAATTCACTGTGCCCAGACGAAATAAGCACAAGTGGAAAACAGTTTGTGAAAGGAAAGGAAAAAATAGAGCAGCTGAAAAAGCCTCCTGCCAGCCTACCAGTTGTTACAGTTTTAAAAAAGGGCTTAGAATCACGACGAAGCCTGAGTCTACATGTAGAAGACACAAGTTTTTCTCATTCTCATTGCATGGACAGCAACAACTGCTCTAGTCCTGGAGCTTCTGTAGTTAGGATTCAGACCAGAGAGAGTCACTTTTAGGTTCAGGACCTGTTTACATGAGAACGCTTGAGAGTAAAAAAAAAACGACAAAATATTTTATCAGAAGTGCCTTTCGTTTAGACGGTGACGGCGTTTTTGGGGGCTTCAAAATGCAGAAATCTTAAACCACCCTCTAAAGTGGAAAAGTTTAATACGTTCCGCCGTAGCGTTTCCGTCTACACTGCCAGATCTGCTCACGCTGCGTTCGCGTTTACGTCACATACATCACCAGCTTCCACACACGTTTGCGTCACCGTACCCGCGCAGACGTCCTCCCGAAAGCACTCGTCTAAACGCAGAATAAAAAGTGAAGACGCGACGCCGCTTTTGCATCTTCCGTTCAGACCGTCAACACATCAACCTTAAACCAGCAGGATTTAAGCACTGAAACTGGCAACCCAAATTACAGACTCATGTGAGGCTCAAATAACAAATTACAACATAGACAACATGATTAAGAATAAATCAGCATTAAAATTGTAAAATGCCTCCAATCTAATCCAATCCACTTTATTTATACGGCACATTTCATAAACAAAACAGCTTTCAAAGTGCTGCACAAAATAAAGAAAACATATCTAATAGAAGTATAAAATAAAGCTCAATTTAACTCCGCTAATCCTTGTTAAGACAGTAAAACTAGTCAAATCAAATAAGAGCAAGAATACCAATAATAATAAAAAGGTAAAAAACATAAAAATTAAATAAAAGACACAAATAAAAGGCACAGAGGTCAGTCAGTCAGGAATTAAAATCATACAGTTCCTATAGTGTTACCATGTGAAGGACAAATGTGTACTGTAGATTGTTAATAAAGACTATTCAGGATTCAGAAACACTAATGCACAGTGATGCACAATTAAAAATCTAAAGACGTCTCCAAGTTTGCATACAAGACAGATGCTCTATGAAATAATGTATTCTTGGATAAACCTGCCGTATTGAGAGACATACAAACTGCAACAGACAGAGTCATTTTGAGCTGTATAATTTGTCAAAACTCCATTTTCTATCAACCCCTGGCATGCTGTGTGGGGATTTGGTTCCTTGACATTCGCCGCCTCAGTCTTTTGAACAAATCAAAGCAAAACAAAAAGGCAAAAGAACAATAGGCCCACATGAAAGAAATGCTTATCATGTCTTTGGCTTAATATTTGCCTGGAGCAGAGGAATACAAAACCAGGCAGCGTGGTGAGTGACTGACGGCTACAGCGCAAGCGACAATACACGTCTATTCACATTACGGTTTTGTGTGGCTAAAAATACATCGAAAAATATGCATTCTTGCTTTCAGCGGGGTCGCCTCTCCAATGTACTGGCTTGGAAGTTGGTCTACTGGTGTTACCTTCTTGTCTCCATGGAGATAGATTAGTCTAGAGTATTGTTTCCCAAAGACTGGGTCGCAAGAGATTTTTTTGGGTCGCCTTGTCATGATCTGCATGTAGGTCTGCAGTATACAGTTCTGACACTGATATCCGAGTTGCGCCCTCCTCCTGCATCTCCTGAACACACTACAAAAATGCAAACAGGTCCTCCTATCTCATTAGAAATGTTGAGACATATTTTGTATAATTTCTAATCTTTTTGTAATTACCTTATTGACTATTTTGTTCCAATGATGCTGGTTCAATTAAAAGTTGAAAAGAAAAATAAATGGGCTACTTTTAATGTCCAAATAGGCGACTTATCGATCCTTTTATTGCTGCTTCAATTACTGTTTTTTATTGTTTAAAACTTGAGTAATACTAATTTTTCACTCAGTCAACAAAAAATATCCTCAGTAATGTTCAATGATGGTCAAATCCACCTTTATTTTGTGATTTACGAATAATGTCTATGGACTTGGGTCGGGAAGGTTTGTGAAAAAAAGTTTGAGAAATACTGATCTAGAGCAGCTGTAAATTTGAGACCAATACAACATAAAGCTGGACTCTGAATGGGCTTAATGGGGTGAAAGTAGCTCAGTTGGTCAAGACACTTAAACCAACTCAACCCCAGTGAATATGTGTGTGAAAGGGTGAATGGTTCCTTGACGTAAAGCGCTTTGAGTGCCTCGAAGGTGGAAAAGCACTACATGTATAATTTTTTTGAACATTTTAAGTCTACACCAGAGCAGCGAGTTTTACTGGCTTTTTTTTTTTTTTTTTCTCTAATTTAGGTTGTACCCAAAAACACACACTCAGACTATCACACAAGCTCCTACACACTGACATTTCCACACTTCAATAAACTACCTTCAAGTATTAGTAATTTACGAAATAAATAAACACAAATTTAATTGACAGCTGTTGTTTTGTGTATTTTTTGTGTATTTTACAGTACATCCAGAACCTTTTTCATTGCTTAGTCATAACATAAACTCTTACCAGCTCGTCAAAACAATGCTATTTACTGCATTTTATAAAGAAATACAGAGAATTGAGTTAAGCATTTTGGCCCAGTCCTCCGTAATATTTTCTGTTTCTCATGTGGCCCCATGGAAAAAATATTTGCCCACCCCTGACCTAGCACCAAAGTACATCTCTGACAAGTTTTCTCTCTTTCTACTTTGTTTACAGATGGTGCTATAAAATAAACTTGCCTTGCCTATTTTTGATCCGCAGTGTGGTAACAGTGATGGAGAAAGAAAGAAAAGCCTGCGCCATCTGCCCTTTTGATATCCACCAACACTCATTACATCACGCTCACGGTCTCCTTTACCTTGCAGTGCCTCTTTGGCCCGGTCCAGCTCCTCCTCCTTATGGGCCAGTTGAACTCGTAGCTCGGTGGCAGAGAGCACGTCGGCGGAGCAGCCCCCCTGAGTCTCCTCCAGGTCTTTACTCAGCATGTCCTTCATCTGACGCAGGAGCTGGACCTCCTCCTGCAACTGCGCCACCTCCTCCCGAAGAAGAACTACAAAGCGGGCAAAGAGAGGGGCAGATGAGGTTAGTGTCGCGAAAGTATAAAAAAAAAAAAATCATAAAATAAAACAAGACTCAGTTTAAAGGTTTAAAAGGGATTGTTCATGGGTGTCCTTCAGGGGTCAGTATTAGGTCCTTTACTATTTGTTTAGGCTGCAGTGACAGGGATTTGAGGTTAATGTCAGGAAAGGTTACTCTGAAAAAACTAGAGACTGATTTAGATGTATTTATTTATTTCATTCATAAAATATAACATAAGACATTAAAGACCTATTCATACTTCATAAGAACATAAGAACTTTGCTCTTGCATCCAGATCTGGCCAAACAAAATGATGTAATTTTGTTCGGTCAGCTCCTGTTCGGCAGTTCTCGTGGCTTGTTCTCGAAACCCAAGCAGTACTTTGTTTGACAGTTCGGCAGCGCTGTCCAACGTCTTTGGTCTGATGGGTTATTTATGTGGGAGTGGTTTATCTGCTTCCTTACTGGTGCAGAGCAAGAAAAGAAAATGTATGGTTTTGAGTCATAGTTGGCGGAAATAGCGAGAATATACAAACATCTATATGCCAAGATGCTAAATGACTATAAAGAGCCAAATGGCAAGAAATTCATGGAGGGAAAATGCGGACATTTTAGGCTCGGACGAAAATCAGAAAAGTTTGCGAAAGCCAAAAGGTGGGTCACAAAATAGAGCGATCAAGCTGGAGGACAAAAAGAAATACCCTCACTATAGAGCTAGAGCGAGCGGGCAGGACAGTTCAGCAGCAGAACATCTTTTGAAGTATGAAATGTCAGAGCCCAAACAAACTTTGTTATTGTTCTTATCATCTCAAGAACAAGAACAAGAATAAAGTTTTTATGTTTTGATGAAGTATGACTAGGCCTTAACACTGTCATAAAGTTAAACATACGATAAATGAATGAAAAGAAACAGAAAGAAGTATAATCTTATGTTAACTGTCTCTTTTCCATACAGTACTGACATAACAAACTAGAGACTGTGGTTTAAAAGGGATTGCTCATGGGGAGTCCTTCAAGGGTCAGTACTGGGTCCTTCACACATTTGTTCAAAGACAGGACCATGAGGTTAGTGTTAGGAAAGTAAAAACTGGTCAAACTTATTTAAGAACAAAACTAAAGTGGTTCTTCAGGGATCTTGAGTCCCTCACTACTTAGATTTTTAGCCATATAATTGTTTTAAAGACGCTTTTCTTTTGAAGACGTTGTTCTGCTGCAGGGTCCGCCACCTGTTTTTTCCATGGAGATGTTATTACTCTATCTGAAATGTTTCACAGTACGGCATTAAACCTTTCTATCACGGAGACCAAACCAGGCCAAGTTACAGGTCAGATCTGTGGAGTGGCAACCCCCTTTTATGTATTTTTGAGCTATAAAACCACCTGTAATTAAATAAATGTACAGTAAGATAATTCTGTTTAATGTCATAAGAGCACTGACATATCCATAGAAACAAGTAGGTGATGGACACCCCCCCAACAGAAAAAGTTACGCAGTGCACCTTTAAGAACCTTACAGTGAATTGTAGCACCATTCTATCTGCAAAATAAGCCATGGAAATTAGAAATGGTCGCTGAAAAATATGACTTATTGTAAACTAAATATACACCAGAGTATCCCAATTTAAAAAAAAAAGAGAAAATCAATTAGTTTCATTTTTTTCAAAAAAGTGCAGTTAATATTGTGCTCTCCTCAAAACCAGCCGCACGAAAACAGACGGTGAGCGGAAGGCAGCCATTCTTCACAGCAGCATGTTCAGCAGAGGAGAGATTACTTCAATCATTTTCAACAAAAACATTCAAGACTGAAAATAAATAATGCGTGAGGAGAGGACCATATGCCAAGAAGACAGAGTATTCTATTTTCTGCAGTTTTATGGGAAGACAAAGAGTGTGGTATATTACATGTGTTTTATTACGGTGGCTGAGTGGCTAGCACTCATGCCTCACAGCAAGAAGGTTCTGGGTTCGATCCCCGGGTCGCCTGGGCCTTTCTGTGTGGAGTTTGCATGTTTCTCCCCGTGTCTGGATGGGTTTCCTCCGGGTGCTATGGTTTCCCCCATCAACCCAAAACATGCTCCAGGTCTCCATAAACAGTTCATAGTCATGGTCAGTTAAATACAATCAGTTCAATCATTGTGTCCTTAGGCAAGACACTTCACCCACATGGCCTAGTATGAAAGTGGTGTGTGCGTGAGTGATGGTGGTGGTCGGAGGGACCGATGGCGCTGATTGGCATTGCAGCCGCGCTTCTGTCAGTGTGCCCCAGGGCAGCTGTGGCTACAATAGTGGCTTACCATCACCAGGGTATAGAGTGAATGAATAATGCTGAATGAATAATGCTGAATAATGCTCTGTAAAGCGTCTTTGGGGACAGAAAATGTCTGTGAAAAGCGCTATATAAATACTTACTTACTTACTTACTTACTTATTAATATCTTTAAAAAGATAATAGCAAAAAGGTCCATGTAAAATGTATATACCGTATTTTTCGGACTATAAGGTGCACCGGATTATAAGGAGCATTTAACAAAACAAATGGACGACACTTCAGACTGATCCTTAGCACGATTACTCCACGATCCACTGGCAGATCGTGGCGTAATTCGCCCGCCGTTGCCTTCCTGTCTTGGTGAATGTGTATTATGAATGTGAATGTGGATAATTTAAGTTCCAATCCACTTTATTTCTATAGCTCATTTCACAAACAAACTGTTTCCAAAGTGCTGCACGAATACATAATAATAACAACAATAATAAATGATAAAATAAACTACTAAAATAATCATACTAGTCTTAAAATAATGAAACCAGTAAAATAAAATAAGAGCTAAATCATAGAATAGCAATAAATAAATAAAACCAATAAAAATACATTAAAAATAAATGGAAAAAAAAAAAAAAAAAAAAAAAAACACAGAGGACCACACAACTCACGCGGTGTTCAAAGTTTGTTTTTTTATTTCCTACGAGGACGACTCAAATATACATTGAGTAATAATGTGTTTCCAGCTTTGCGCACATTTGTTTACGTTTTACAGAACCGTATGGCTCATTTGCATAAACGATAAGCGGGGGCCTTAGTGATGGTGTATGAAGTTTGAAAACACAGTGGAGCACTTCCCGTTTTCAGTTTGAGAGAAGAACTCAGCCTAAATATGCTGGATTTGTGTGTTAAATGTGTGAATGAAACAAAACACAACACCAGGTATGATTTGTGATAAGGAAATATTATAGAATAGATTAAAAAAAAAAAAAAAAAAAAGCATAATATGGGCCCTCTGAAAAAAAAAAAAAAGCCACATTCTGACGCAACCACTCTCTCTCAATCACAACATAATGTCCTTGCAGGGCCACCGTAGATCCTCACAGACAATATGTGGCATTTAGTGTTGCAATGTCACCACTTTATCCCTGGAGTATTTCACATCTGACATCTCACTCCTGCAAGCTCTCGTCCTTTAGCCCATCTGAAAAGCCTTTACCGGCGCCTCACTGCGACACCAAAGCACCATCACTCTTCCTCCTCCTCATCGGAAGCTCTAATCCAATCTGTGCACCTTCACCTGTGATGGATGCATTACAGCAGGTCAGAAGAAACAGCCCACACTACAACAAGCCGTGACATGAAACCGCTGTCCTCGGAGATGTGTGGTGGTGTTAACGTTGACTCTATTGCTTTAGCCTTGCTGTGCCCTCTAAATGTTCACTCTAACCATTTTTTTATGAATAAAAGCAGTGGTTCTTAAATTGTTTACAGATTTTGGGTAAGGTTTCTGGCCCGTAACCTCACTGGTCTAGGGATCACCACAGCCTTTTGCTTGTGTCCACAGAGAAATCCAAATCCAAATGCAAGTCCACTTTATTTCTATAGCACATTTTACAAACTAAGCAGTTTCCAAAGTGCTGCACAGGTAGGTAAATTGCTAAAATTTGGTCATACAGTCCTAAAACAATAAAACTAGTAAAATCAAATGAAAAGCAAAACCATAAAATTCATAAAATAACAGTAAATAAGTAAAATAAATAAAATAGATATGTTTACCTTTGCTTGGAATGTTCCACAGTATGGCATTCAACTTGTGTATCTCTATGGAAACAAGCGGATGACGTTATCAAGGAGGAGACCCACAGTAAAAATGCATGTTAGTCCTGGTTTTAGTTCTTGTTTAGGCACGATTTCTGGGTTTACTGTATTTTTCGGATTATAAGTTGCAATTTTTTTTTCATGGTTTGGGCGTTTCCTGTGACTTATACTCCGGTGCGATGTTTTATATATTAAAGTGTTCACACTGACAGCCTCAAGAGGGCGCTCTAGTCTTGTGTGTCAGTATCTGCTGCTCCTGTTCCTCCTGTACCACTGTCACTTGGATCTACTGCACATGTCTCCTGCAGAAAGAGCTTCTGTCCTGTCTGGATCATGTCAGTTGATCGCACCATTACTTCTGTACCACTGAAAATTAAAAATTTAAATAAACTTATAAATACATTTGAAACCATCCTGTCGGGATTCAGAAAGGCCAGAATAATTCTAACTGGAACTGATGCTGAGTCTGACGACAGCTACACAGAAGAGGAAGTGGTGCTCTGTTTACCTCCAGAGGTTGTGGAGTTGCTCAGAAGTGACACCGAGGATGAAGAATTCAACGGATTTAGTGATTTGGAGTGAGATGGAGAGTTTGGTAAACTTGTTCTGTTCTGTTGTTTATGCTATAATTATCTGAAGAACTGTTCATATGTGACGTTAACAGTCTGTTGTTCTCTATTCTATTGTTGACAGTTCAAGATGAAATGTCAGTTCCTTGTCTCTGATTTTATAAAATAAATTTCCCCCCAAAGTGCGACTTATATCGTATTTTCCGGGCTATTGGGCGCGCTCTTAAGCCTCCAACCCCACCTCAAAAAACGACCGCGTGCCCCACAATCCAGAGCGCCCTATACATGAATCCACTCGAGTGTCCCAGCACGACTTCAGT